GAAATTAGTCACTTGGAGACCTGACATTAGAATCTCATAAAGCTAATTGTTAGCCTTCAATCTAGAAGATGTCCGTCTTATAAAGGGCTTAGAGTTGTGTTTGGTGTCCCTGTTGCTTGAACAGAGCTTTAAAAACCAACATGCAATATTAAAAAACCATTAATGATTTGGTGAAAATTCTTAAGTCATCATTGATATGTCTGTGACATGAGTTGTTCTTTTCAGATTTACTTTTCTCTTTCTTAGGTAATACGAGGAAATAGTATCATCATGTTAGAAGCCTTGGAACGAGTATAAATAATGGCTGTTGAGCGGAGAAACCCATGTCCTCTCTCCATAGGGCCTGTTTTACTATGATGTAAAAATTAGGTCATGTACATTTTCATATTAGACTTTTTGCTAAATAAACTTTTGTAATAGTCAAAAATGTTTTCTCAGATGTTCTGAATATAGAATGTTAGCTCTCATTCCAATTTTTTCTGACATGAATTTTCCTGGTTGACACTGATTTAAAAGGGTTTTATGCATTAAAGTGGACGAATCTTGTTAAATGTGAAACATGGCAAGGATTCCTTTTGTCCATCTTTTATTTATTTCATTTTAGTTATTGAGAAATGCTCCATGTGTGATAATGTCCATCTTTCAACACTAAACAGATAAAGAAGTTGCAAACATGAATGAGTTTCTTCTAAGACATTTTCAAAACTTAAGAGTAACTCTGATCTAGTCTGACTTTCCTAAGTACATCTACATTCCAAATATAGTACAACAGAAGCAAAAGACAGGAAGTAATGGTGATGTTATTGTTTATTTTTAACATAATCATTACATGGGGGAAAATTTTAATACAGAGTAGAAAGAGGATTCCAAAGAAAAACATTCCAGTGTATCATGGTTCTTTGTGAGTAGAGAAGGGTAGTGAGGATGCTGTCCACAATGTATTCATCTAGTTAATGAATTTTATGGCCCACAACCTCAAATGAGAGATACATTACAGATGGTTGTATTATAAACCTAATCTTAAGAAACCTTACCAAGCAAATGCTTAAGGCTGATTTTTTTGTGATCTGATAAAAAGCCTGCAAATCATGAATCACTTTAAAACTGTACGGAATGAAATATACACCGTATGTAAAGTTCTTGTAAAACACCAAACACAATGAATGGCTTATATATATATAAACCTCTCTCACTCTTAAATGACATTTCCTAATTACAGAAAATGTTCACAACAAAAAACCAGAGGGATCAAACTAACAATCTCAATAAGGAGAACTGACGTGAAGTCCCATACACTGTTACTCTTGGTAAATCTTCACCGACTTTTTTCTTTTGCAGCAATGTAGAGCTGAATTGTAGAACTACTTCAAGTGTGGTTTCCATAAGTAGAACAGCAGCATCACAGGGGAACTTATAAAATGTAACTTCTTGTGTCCCACAATAAACTTATTGAATAAACAAACAGGGTGGAGCCCAGCGATGTTAGTCCTGCAGGTAACAAGCATGCTCAACTCAGCTCAAGAACCACTGGAGCAGAACTGGCTTTTCATTCATCCCCTGCATCATTTTTACCAGTCTTCTTGTGTTTAAAAAAAAAAAAGAAGAGTGGTCTGGAGCAGCAAGCTCTGACATGTAGAGCTTTTTTTTTCTTCCAATAAAACTCTTCTTTAACACTATAGTTGCATAAAACTACCTAATGTGCCTGGAGTAGCAGGCTCTGCTAGTATTTTTCTCCCAGTAAAAAAGTTAATACTGTAGTTGCATTAAAACTACTTAATATCCTTGGTATATTGATAACCTGTTTTTGTTTTGCCAAAGTAATTTCAGATGCCCTACTGGAAAATGTATCCAGAGTAGGTTGGATATAATACCAACAACATTTTAAATTAGTTTTGGGTTTTTTTGTTTGTTTGTTTGTTTGTTTGTTTGTTTTTTGAGACACAGTATCACTCTGCTGCCCAGGCTGGAGTGCAGTGGTGCATTCTCTACTCACTGCAACCTTCATCTCCCAAGTTTAAGTAATTATCAAGTCTCAGCCTCTTCAGTAGCTGGGATTACAGGCACCCACCATACCTGGCTAATTTTTGAATTTTTAGTAAATTGGTTTCACCATGCTGGCCAGGCTGGTCTCAAAGTCCTTACCTCAAGAGATCCACCCACCTCAGCCTCCCAAAGTGCTAGGATTACAGGTATGACCACTGCACCCAGCCTAAATTGGTGTTTTGTTTTTCTTTTCAAGACAGAGTCTTGCTCTGTCACCAGGCTGGTGCATGGTGGTGCAATCTTAGCTCACTGCAACCTCCACCTCCTGGTTCAAGCAATTCTGCCTCAGCCTATTTTTAGTAGAGGTGGGGTTTCACCATGTTGGCCAGGATGGTCTTGATCACCCAACCTCTTGATCCACCCGCCTTGGGCTCCCAAAGTGCTGGGATTACAGGCATAAACCACCACGCCTCACCTAAACTGGTATAAGTAAAAATATATGCCATTGCAAAACAAGTCTACAAATGAAGAAATTAATTAGTATTTACCAATATTTAACATACACATAACAGTATTACATTCTTTACAAATTGTCTTCATTAAAACCACAAAAGGAAACAAGTATGAATACTTCTTAACATCTGTTAAGAATAAAACTAGAAAAAAATCGCCATTGACAAACCATGAGTTTAATCCCTGCCTATCAAATATATCTTGGCAGTTTTATCAGCATAGTAACATTCACAACTGGTAGAGAAGTCACTTTTACTCAGAACCAATGTTCTTAACACTATTTTGCTAAAGTAGCTAATGCCATGATCTTATGAAGGACTTTTTTAAGTTTCCATTCAATGGAAGGATTTTTTTTTTTTTTTTAAGATGGTCTCACTGTTGCCCAGGCTGGAGTATAGTGGCATGATCATGACTCACTGCAGCCTTGACCTCCAAGTCTCAAGTGATCCTCCCACCTCAGCCTTCTGAGCAGCTGGGACTACAGGCATGCATTACCATGCTTGGCTGACTTTTTAAAAATTTTTTGTAGAGATGAGGTTTCACCATGTTGCCTAGGCTGGTCCAGGCCTTTTTACGTATTTATGTTTCAATAACAATACATGTTAAATTGGTTTCAAATTTTTTTTTTTTTTTTTTTTTTTTTTTTTTTGAGACGGAGTTTTGCTCTTGTTACCCAGGCTGGAGTGCAATGGCACAATCTCGGCTCACCGCAACCTCCACCTCCTGGGTTCAGGCAACTCTCCTGCCTCAGCCTCCTGAGTAGCTGGGATTACAGGCACGTGCCACCATGCCCAGCTAATTTTTATTTTTAGTAGAGGTTTCACCATGTTGACCAGGATGGGCTTGATCTCTTAACCTCGTGATCCACCTGCCTCGGCCTCCCAAAGTGCTGGGATTACAGGCTTGAGCCACCGCACCCGGCCGGTTTCAAATTCTTAATCTTTTACTACTTCTGTTCTACCATTATCTGACCAGTCAATCAGATCTTTGTACAGCAGATGCAGAACTAATTCTCAAGTTTGGCTGCATGTTAGTTACCATTTGGGATGCTTTAAAACCCTACCGATGAATCCAATGTGCAGCCAAGATTGAGAGCCACTGTCCTAAGATTTCAGCAACCAATTGCTCACCCAGAATGCTACAGTAACTGAAACACTTAACACTCTGGACATATGCTGGACTTCGTTAAGCTTGGTGTCATTCCAAGTATTCTGTTTTAGTGCCAACTGCTTCTGGAGTTTAAGTTGCCTCTGCTGTTAGACTATCCATGCTTCTTACTGTCACAATTACTTTTAAAGTTCTTGAGAGAAATCATTCCTTGCAAAATGGATCTGCTTTGATACAGATTGGGTTTCTTAGGACTTCTAAGGCACTAAAACCCCTTTGTAGGCGTTTTCAACCCCACGTTAGTGATTCTCAACCCTGGGTGCATATTAGAAACTAAAAAGCTACAGTGCTAAGGTCCTATCCTCAATCTCTGAATCTGCACCTCGGTTATGGGAGTCTCAGTATTTTTTAAAGCTCCTGAAGTAAGGATTTAATAACACAATACCAGTTTCACAATTCAGTAGCCCATATTTGCTTTTCATTTTGAGATTTTTAACATCTTAAAGTTACATTACTAAGACTTCTAAATTTCACCCCTAATTAAATCAAGATAGAAGAATCAAAAGACAACATTCTGAAAGTCAAGGATTTAGGCATGGGCACATGCTTTCAGACTCTTAGGTATGAAATTACTAAGAGTCACGCATAAGACACCAGCTCCCATAAATTTTATCTGACTGAAGAATACATCTGGCTGTAAAGTTCAAAAGGACTACTCCCCAAATAAGATGTCTTTAAGTTCTCCCTCAGGTACTCACCTTAAAATGCTCTACAATTTTGATCAAAATCCAGGGCCCCACCCCCAGACCTACTGAATCAGAATCTCCAAGAGAGGAGCCTGAGAATCCATATAGTTTAACAAACTCCAGGTGATTATTTTTACTTTTTGAGATGGAGTTTTGCTCGTTGCCTAGACTGGAGTGCAATGGCACAATCTCAGCTCACTGCAACCTCCACTTCCTGACTCCAGGTGAGAATCAAACAAGTTTAAGAAAGACTCCCGGCAGGGCATGGTGGCTCACACCTGTAATCCCAGCACTTTGGGAGGCCGAGGCAGGTGGATCACGAGGTCAGGAGTTCAAGACCAGCCTGGCCAAGATGTTGAAACCCCATCTCTACTAAAAATACAAAAATTAGCTGGGTGCGGTGGCACGTGCCTGTAATCCCACCTACTCAGGAGGCTGAGGCAAGAGAATTGCTTGAACCTGGGAGGCAGAGGTTGCAGTGAGCCGAGATCGCACCATTGCACTACAGCCTGGGTGACAGAGTGAGACTCTGTCTCAAAAAAAAAAAAACAAACACTCCCAATGGATAGTAAAAGAATAATTAAGAAACTTTGGAGATGGAATAAGTGCAATAGTTACACTTTCACACTTAATTAGAACCTTGTGTTTTCTTATGACCAGCAGGGATTACTTCTGTTAAACAATAATGGCAAAATATCTGGTTCAAAATCATCTCTGCTCAGATTTTGTTTTTTTTTGCCACTGATAGTCATTTGGAACTAGAAGGGGAAAAAAGAATGTGTCGTTTCATAGCTCAGTTTTAAGTTTCTCATATAAGCCATCCTGGTCAATCATGTCTATGTGCCCATTCCAGCGGTGATAGGCAAGGAGCGCGGCATTGTGGGCTGCAATGGCACTCATTTCCATGGCACTTGCTGCACACTCTATGCCATTGAGGTAATAAAGTCGATCATGGAGAATGATAGAGGGGCATTTCTCTGGGGGCTTATAGCGAGGATAGGCAAGCCATGGCTTCTTCACAGCATAATCATAGGACAGAAAGAGCTTTACAATTTGCGCTTTAGTAAGAGTTTCTTGAGAAAACATCTTCCAAACATATGTTCCATCTGTTGACGGCTCAGGATTTTCCTTTTCTCTCACAGAGGACACAATCCCAATACTGTTAATGAACAAATCTGAATTATCAGTGGTTAAAACTGTACTAAGGCCAAATTTATCTATGGGTCTAGGGCTAAAGATAGAGGTATTCAATTCCCCCTTAACTAAAGTTGTAACTATATTCTGGTAGTATTGATGGAATTCCTCAATCGGAGGATCAAAGTTGAGAAAAGTAATACCGGACATTTTTCGATTCAATGGAGTGGCCACCAAGACGATGTCATAGAAGTCTGAATGAGTCTCAGTTCCAATTTGGTAGACCACTTCATACATCTTTGTTGGATTTCCTAGAGGAAATATGGAGGCATATATTTGTTTAGTGTTTCTAATATACCTTCTAAAAATAATTCTATACTTTCTTCATAATTTCTCTGTAATTCTAAAGAATTGAAGTTATGGCCGGGCGCAGTGGCTCACGCATGTAATCCTAACACTTGGGGAGGCCAAGGCTGGTGAACTGCCTGAGCTCAGGAGTTCAAAACCAGCCTGGGCAACATGGTGAAACCCCGTTATCTACTAAAACCACAAAAAAATTACCTGGGATTGGTGGCATATGCCTGTAGTCCCAGCTACTTGGGAGACCGAGGCAGGAGAATTGCTTGAACCCAGGAGGTGGAGGTTGCAGTGAGCTGGATCATGCCACTGCACTCCAGCCTGGCCAACAGAGCAAGACTCCGTGTCCAAAGGAAAAAAAAAAGAACTGAATATGTTATAACCCTTAAGATAGCTGTCCCTTGCATTTTTATTACACTGTGGCCAATTTCTTATTCAGAATGTCAATAAGTACAAAATAGGGAATTTTTACTTTTCAAGATAAGATTGTTTTTCAGGCCGGGCGCAGTGGCTCAAGCCTGTAATCCCAGCACTTTGGGAGGCCGAGGCGGGTGGATCACGAGGTCGAGAGATCGAGACCAACCTGGTCAACATGGTGAAACCCCGTCTCTACTAAAAATACAAAAAATTAGCTGGGCATGGTGGTGCGTGCCTATAATCCCAGCTACTCAGGAGGCTGAGGCAGGAGAATTGCCTGAACCCAGGAGGCGGAGGTTGCGGTGAGCCGAGATTGTGCCATTGCACTCCAGCCTGGGTAACAAGAGCGAAACTCCGTCTCAAAAAAAAAAAAAAAAAAAAAAGATTGTTTTTCAAATCCAAGGAGTAATGCCACTGCACTTAACTACATTGGGGAATATTTCTACATGGCACAATTTCAAGTTTCATAGTTTAATGATTTTAGAACCAAGTAAGAGATGACAAAAGAGAGGTGTTTCTCCCTGAGCAATCATTTTCTACAGGGGAAATCAGGAACAATAAAACAAATTCAAGCTTACCTGTGTGTTTGGTCTTTGTTTTCTCCTCTATGTACATTACTGAGCCAGATATAAGATTGCTTTTGGATGCCTGCAGGAGCCCTGAGCAAACAAGTTTATTGCCACCTTCTACTGCCCAAAGGCCAGAATCAGAACAGGACAATGACACTGCCCCTGTCAACAGGAGGAAAAAAACATGTTTTATTTCTGACTTTGTAAGAGGTTGTCTACCCACTCTCCCTTCCCAATCACATGTTCTACTCCAGATGTCTCTAGACATTGCTAAATGGCCTTTGGGAGCAAAATCTCCCAATTAAGAATCACTGAACTGCCGGGCGCGGTGGCTCAAGCCTGTAATCCCAGCACTTTGGGAGGCCGAGGCGGGTGGATCACGAGGTCGAGAGATCGAGACGATCCTGGTCAACATGGTGAAACCCCATCTCTACTAAAAATACAAAAAATTAGCTGGGCATGGTGGCACGTGCCTGTAATCCCAGCTACTCAGGAGGCTGAGGCAGGAGAATTGCTTGAACCCAGGAGGTGGAAGTTGTGGTGAGCCGAGATCGCGCCACTGCACTCCAGCCTGGGTAACAGAGCGAAACTCCAGTCTCAAAAAAAAAGAATCACTGAACTAATGAAAGCTAAAGACCCTCTCCCCCTAAAAATGCACATCTACATTTGCAGAATTTTGCTAACAACATCTGAGGTTCACAGAGAAAGGTAGCCTCCAGTCCATGGCCTAAAGTCAGGAGCCACCATAGCATCAGGTAAGCCCCTTTGAGAACTAATGTCCACCACTGTTCCATGCCCTGGCTTACCCACAAAGGCATTGATGTCTGTGCTTTGGCCATAATTGACCCTCATAACAGGAGCTATCATTTCATTGAGGAATTTCTCAGAGAAGCCAGCCTTCTGCAAGGTTTCAAGAAGTGTTCGGTTAAGCATTCCAAGGAATTCATCTCCTCCTAGAGCATGTAGTAATTTTTCTACACTACTGAAGGCATAGTCATGAGATTGGTAGCGGTAGATCCTTTGGAAAAGAAGATAAATGTCCATTAAATACCAAACAAGATGTGGGAAAGGGGATGTATAAAGAAGGGAAATGACATCATAACAAACAGCTGGGTGCAGTGGCTCACGCCTGTAATCCCCACACTTTGGACACCAATGTGGGTGGATCACCTCAGGTCAGTTCAAGACAGGCCTGGCCAACATGGCAAAAACCCATCTCTACTAAAAATACAAAAATTAACTGGGCATAGTGGCATGTGCCTGTGGTCCCAGCTACTCGGGAGGCTGAGGCAGGAGGATGGCTTGAGCCCCAGAGTTCAAGGCCACAGTGAACTGTGATCGTGCCACTGCACTCCGGCCTGGGCCAGACAGTGAGACCCTGTCTCTTAAAAAAAAATAAAGAAGAAAAAGGAAAAATAAAAAGTAGAAAGAAAAGACTTTGTCTAAAGGTCACATGGCAAGTAGAATGCTCAATCACAACTTACCCACTCTGCCCTCAATCACCCACACATGCACAGTCTTCACTGGAGCACACCAGACCCATTCACTGGTCTCTAAATATGACCTACATGTTATCTCCCCACCAGTACACAAGCTCCTCCCTCCAACCTGAATACACTTCCCATTCCTAACCATAGAACGTCTATTCTTCCTTAAGAGAACTTGTATCTCACCTTTTCTGAAACGTCTTGCTTGACTTCTCAGTCCACAGTTACATCATCTCCAAAAGCCTCATAAAACTTAGCACCAATGCTAATCATTAATTAGACGATTTTTTTTTTTCAGGTGAGTCTCACTCTGTCACCAGGCTGGAGTGCAGTGGTGCAATCTTGGCTCACTGCAACCTCTGCCTCCCAGGTTCAAGGGTTTCTCCTGCCTCAGCCTCCCAAGTAGCTGGGACTACAGGCATGCGCCACCATGCCCAGCTAATTTTTGTATTTTTAGTAGAGACAGGGTTTCACTATTTTGCCCAGGATGGTCTTGATCTCTTGACCTTGTGATCCACCCACCTTGGCCTCCCAAAGTGCTGGGATTACAGGCGTCCGCCACCACGCCCAGCCTGTATCATTTATTTTTTAGAAAATATCACTTGACCACAAACAAAAAGAAAAATGTCACCTGACATTTCTCTGCATTTTATGGATTTAATACAACATTCACATAAATTAGTACATGCAGTAATTCAAACATAATTTTTTATGTTGCAAATGGTACAAAGACGAAAAAGGGGCTTAAGTTCAGGATAATAAGGGGCTTATTTCTTATTCCCTTAAGGGGCTTACAGTTATGGATAAGTAATAAGGCACACACAGAGGTAAGTATATGAAAATAAGAAATTGGCAGGGTACGGTGGCTCACGCCTATAATCCCAGCACTTTGGGAGGCCAAAGTGGGTGAATCATCTGAGGTCAAGAGTTCAAGACCAGCCTGGCCAATATGGTGAAACCCCATCTCTACTAAAAATACAAAAAATTAGCCGGGCGTGGCTGGTGAACACCTGTAATCCCAGCTACGTGGGATGCTGAGGCAGGAGAATCACTTGAACTAGGGAGGCAGAGGTTGCAGTGAGCCAAGATTGAGTCACTGCACTCCAGCCTGGGCAACAAGAGCGAAACTCATCTTCAAAAAAAAAAAAAACATGAAAGGAAATTCAGAGCCAAGGAAAGATCCCTATCACTGATCATGGGATGGGAACTTTCACATCAAGTTTCTTCTCTCAAAATGAACTACAATTTTTTACAGAACAAGGGACGATATTATAACTATTTCAATATTATCTACTGAAAGCATAGCCATAGTATAAGGGTACAAAATGTTAAATACATTTTATTGGAAAAATTTATTAGAGATCTATGCCAAAACTGAGAAGCTAAAATAACGCCTTCCAACCATAGCATTTGGGTTCCAGTCTTTAGGAGACTGAAAAAGTAGAATGAAAACACTGAATTCTTCATAAAAAGAATAGCCTGGATATCTCATATCCAAAGAGAAGTAATCTTTGGCTAATGGTCAACATGAGAAAATAGCAGTCAATTAAATAAGCTACAAATTATGCTATAAAAAACATATTCCCGGCCGAGCGTGGTGGCTCACGCCTATAATCCCAGCACTTTGGGAGGCCGAGGCGGGTGGATCACGAGGTCAAGAGATCGAGACCATCCTGGTCAACATGGTGAAACCCTGTCTCTACTAAAAATACAAAAATTAGCTGGGCAAGGCCGGGCACGGTGGCTCAAGCCTGTAATCCCAGCACTTTGGGAGGCCGAGGCAGGTGGATCACGAGGTTGAGAGATCGAGACCATCCTGATCAACATGGTGAAACCCCGTCTCTACTAAAGGTGCAAAAAATTAGCTGGGCGTGGTGGCGCGTGCCTGTAATCCCAGCTACTCAGGAGGCTGAGGCAGGAGAATTGCCTGAACCCAGGAGGCGGAGGTTGCGGTGAGCCGAGATCGCGCCATTGCACTCCAGCCTGGGTAACAAGAGCGAAACTCCATCTCAAAAAAAAAAAAAAAATTAGCTGGGCATGGTGGCACATGCCTGTAGTCCCAGCTACTCGGGAGGCTGAGGCAGGAGAATTGCCTGAACCCAGGAGGTGGAGGTTGTGGTGACCTGAGACCATGCCATTGCACTCCCTCCTGGGTAACAAGAGCGAAACTCCGTCTCAAAAAAAAATAATAAAAAATAAAAAATAAAAAAACATATTCCCCACCTGCTCCTGCCAGAGCTGGAACCTCACTCAAGCAAGTCTCCTGGAGGGTGAGATGAAACTATATACATAATATAAACAGAGAGCACTCTAATTGTTTCATGATACAACTAGTTGCATTAGAATAAATGCTACTGCTGGGTGTGGTGGCTCACACCTGTAATCCTAGCACTTTGGGAGGCTGAGGAGGGTGGCATAATAACTTGAGGTCAGAGACCAGCCTGGCCAACATGGTGAAAACCCCTCTACTAAAAATACAAGCATTAGCTGGGCATAGGGGTGCGTGCCTGTAATCCCAGCTACTCAGGAGGATAAAGCATGAGAATTGCTTGACCCAGGAGACAGAGGAGGTCGCACCACTGCACTCCACCCTGGATGACTCCATCTCAAAAAAATAATAATAATAAATGAAAAATAAAATAAATACTACTAAAAAACAGCAGCCAGGTGAGGTAGCATGCACCTATAGTCATGGCTACTCAAGAGGCTGAGATGGGAGGATCACTTAAGACCAATGGCACAAGGCTGTAGCACACTGTGGTTGCACCTGTGAATAGCCACCAACACACTCCAGCCTGGGTGACAGAGTAAGACAGGAAGATCCCTTGAGGCCAGGAGTTCAAGACCAGGCTGGGCAACATAGCAAGACTCTGTCTGTAAAACAAAAAATTAAAAATAAAGCAGGCACAGTGGCTCACACCTGCAATCCCAACACTTTGGGAGGCCAAGGTGGGAGGATCACTTAAGCCAAGGAGCTCGAGATCAGCTTGGGCAACATGGCAACACCCTTTTTTTGTTTGTTTTTGAGACAGAGCCTCATTCTGTCACCCAGGCTGGACTGCAATGGTGCAACCTCTGTCTCCTGGGTTCAAGCAATTCTCCTGCCTCAGTCTCCCTAGTAACTAGAATTACAGACATGTGCCACCATGCCTGGCTAATTTTTGTTGGGTTTTTGGTTTTTTTTTTCTTTTTTTTTTTTTTTTTGAGACGGAGTTTCGCTCTTGTTACCCAGGCTGGAGTGCAATGGCGCGATCTCGGCTCACCGCAACCTCCGCCTCCTGGGTTCAAGTAATTCTCCTGCCTCAGCCTCCTGAGTAGCTGGGATTACAGGCAAGCGCCACCATGCCCAGCTACTTTTTTGTGTTTTTAGTAGAGACGGGGTTTCACCATGTTGACCAGGATGGTCTCGATCTCTCGACCTCGTGATCCACCCGCCTCGGCCTCCCAAAGTGCTGGGATTACAGGCTTGAGCCACCGCGCCCGGCTTTTTTTTCTTTTTTTGGAGACAGAATCTCAATCTGTCACCAGGCTGGAGTGTAATGGTGTGATCTCAGCTCACTGTACCCTCCACCTCCAGGATTCAAGAGATTCTCCTGCCTCTCCTCCCTCCCCAGTAGCTAGGATTACAGGCAGCTGCCAACACGCCCAGCTAATTTTTTGTATTTTTAGTAAAGATGGGGTTTCACCATGTTAGCCAGGTTGGTCAAGGGCTTTAGGTTTCTATACTGTCCAAAGAAAGACAAACCTGAGAATATCCTCCAATTTCATATTTTAACCAGGTGACTCTCAACTCTGGATGCAGGTTAAGATTCACTTGAGCTGGGTATGGTGACTCATGCCTGTAATCCCAGCACTTTGGGAGGCTGAGATGGGTGGATAGCCTGAGGTCAGGAGTTCGAGACCAGCCTGACCAACATGGTGAAACCCCGTCTCTAATAAAAATGCAAAAATTAGCTGGGCGTGGTAGCAGGCACCTGTAATCCCAGTTACTCAGGAGGCTGAGGTAGGAGAATTGCTTGAACCTAGGAGACAGAGGTTGCAGTAAGCCGAGATCACACCACTATACTCTAGCCTGGGCGACAGAGTGAGACTCTGTCTCAAAAAAAAAAAAAAAAAAAAAAAAAATGTTGGGCAGACACAGTAGCTCACACCTGTAATCCAAGTACTCTGGGAGGCGAAGGCTAGAGGATCACTTGAGCCCAGGAGTTTGAGACCAGCCTGGACAACATAGTGAGACCCGTTGAGCCATGATGGCACCACTGCACTTCAGCCTGACAATGACAGAGTGAGACCCTATCTCTAAAATAAAAATAAAAATGCCCAAAACTCTACCCTTCAATAATTAAATTTTAAAAATCTCTCAGGTGAAGCTCAGCATTCGTATTTTAAAAAGACCTCCATGTGCGGCCAGGGATTGAGAACTACTGCTTTTTTTTTTTTTTTTTTTGAGACGGAGTCTCGCTCTGTCACCCAGGCATGCAATGGTGTGATCCCAGCTCACTGCAACCCCTGCCTTCTGGGTTCAGGTGATTCTCCTGCCTCAGCCTCCCAGGTAGCTGGGATTACAGGCATGACCTACCACGCCCAGCTAATTTTTGTTATTTTTAGTACAGACAGGGTTTCACCAAGTTGACCAGGCTGGTCTCAAATTCCTGACCTCAAGTGATCCGCCCACCTCAGCCTCCCAAAGTGCTGGATTACAAGCATGAGCCACCACCCCTGGCTGAGAACTACTGCTTCAACAGAAACGGAGGGGAACTGGTTCCAAGTTCCTCTTTGGTAATCTCTATGACTTCTACTCTTGATTTTTGTGACATTCCAGAATATTTCTAACATAGGGTAATAATAAAAATACGCCGGGCGCGGTGGCTCAAGCCTGTAATCCCAGCACTTTGGGAGGCCGAGGCGGGTGGATCACGAGGTCGAGAGATCAAGACCATCCTGGTCAACATGGTGAAACCCCGTCTCTACTAAAAATACAAAAAACTAGCTGGGCGTGGTGGCGCGTGCCTGTAATCCCAGCTACTCAGGAGGCTGAGGCAGGAGAATTGCTTGAACCCAGGAGGCGGAGGTTGCGGTGAGCCGAGATCGCGCCATCGCACTCCAGCCTGGGTAACAAGAGCGAAACTCCGTCTCAAAAAAAAAAAAAAAAAAAAAATTTAAGCAGTACACATGAAACAGAAAGCACATTGGCTGTGGAAGTGGAACTGAATCAAGGCTTCCTGCTGAGGAAGGGAAGGGGGGTTCTTTGGCAGGGGAAGATGCCTCCCCACTCAGGGAAGCGGCAATTTCACCACTCCAGCAGTATTTCACTACTGTTTTTGTTTTCTTTTTTGCTGTTTTTTTGTTTTTTTTTTTTTTTTTTGAGACGGAGTTTCGCTCTTGTTACCCAGGCTGGAGTGCGATGGCGCGATCTCGGCTCACCGCAACCTCCGCCTCCTGGGTTCAAGCAATTCTCCTGCCTCAGCCTCCTGAGTAGCTGGGATTACAGGCATGTGCCACCAGGCCCAACTAATTTTTTTTGTTTTTTAGTAGAGATGGGGTTTCACCATGTTGACCACGATGGTCTCAATCTCTCAACCTCGTGATCCACCCGCCTCGGCCTCCCAAAGTGCTGGGATTACAGGCTTGAGCCACCGCGCCCGGCCTTTTTTTTTTTTTTTAAAGAGACAATGTCTTGCTCTGTCGCTCAGGCTGGAACATAGTGACACAATCATAGTTTACTATAACCTTAAACTCCCAGGTTCAAGCAATTCTCCTGCCTCAGCCTCCAGCGTAGCTGGGACCACAAGTGCCCGCCACCACACTCGGCTAATTTTTGTTTTTTGTTGTTGTTGCTGAGACAGGGTTTCACCATGTTGGTCAGGCTGGTCTTAAACTCGCGACCTCAGGTGATCCACCCGCCTCAGCCTCCCAGAGTGCTGGGATTACAGGTGTGAGCCACCACGCCTGGCAATTTAGTAGAGACAGGGTTTCGCCATGTTGGCCAGGCTGGCCTCGAACCCCTGACATCAGGTGATCCACCCGCTTCGGTCTCCCAAAGTGCTGGGATTATGCCCGGCCTCCAGCACCTAGAAATGTAAACCAGCATAAAAATTAGCACATGCTGCTGGGCGCGGTGGCTCAAGCCTGTAATCCCAGCACTTTGGGAGGCCGAGGCGGGCGGATCACGAGGTCGAGAGATCGAGACCATCCTGGTCAACATGGTGAAACCCCGTCTCTACTAAAAATACAAAAAATTAGCTGGGCATGGTGGCACGTGCCTGTAATCCCAGCTACTCAGGAGGCTGAGGCAGGAGAATTGCCTGAACCCAGGAGGCGGAGGTTGCGGTGAGCCGAGATCGCGCCATTGCACTCCAGCCTGGGTAACAAGAGCGAAACTCCGTCTCAAAAAAAAAAAAAAAAAAAAATTAGCACATGCTGGCTGGATGCAGTGGCTCACACCTGAAATCCCAGCAATTTTGGAGGCTGAGGCAAGTGGATCACCTGAGGTCACAAGTTTGAGACTAGCCTGGTCAAAACGGCAAAACCCCGTCTCCACTAAAAATACAAACAAAGAAAAAAATTAGCCAGGTATGGTGGCACAAGCCTGTAATCCCAGCTACCTGAGAGGCTGAGGCAGAACTGCTTGAACCCAAGAGGTGGAGGTTGCAGTGAGCCAAGATTGCGCCACTGCACTCCAGCCTAGGTGACAGAGCGAGACTCCGTCTCAGAAAAAAAAAAATTACCGAGGCATGGTGGTGGGCACCTATAATCCCAACTACTCAGGAGCCTGAGGCAGGAAAATCACTTGAACTCAGCAGACAGAGGTTTCAGTGAGCCAAGATCGCACCATCACACTCCAGCCTGGGCGACAAGAACGAAATAACATCTCAAAAAAAAAAAAAAAAAAAAAAACTAGCACATGCCAACAGATTAAAAAAAAAAAGATTGTACCTTTCAAAATTAAAATGGCTATGTTAGTCTTCCTGATTACCAAAGTGATACATATACACACACTTAAAAAATTGTTTAAATATAGAAAAGCATTAAGGAAGAAAAAGAGGCACCTGAATACTCACTATTCAGGGCAGTGCTGGAATGTAAATTCTTGGAATATGGAACTTTTACTCTACTCAGGCTGCTGGTTCACTGAAAACATGTCACTATTAAAGCCCATTTAAGTTTTCTGATCCTTCTACAACTCTTGTACACATTATCTCATTCATCTACAAAACACTAGCACAGCATAGAGATTAAGAGTGAAGACTCTAAGGCCAGACTGCCTGGGTGGCAACTCCAGCTATATCACTTACTATGTGGATGAACCTGCTCTCTTAAAACCTCTACACCACCCCTTCTGCATCTGTTTAAAGAAGCTAATAACAGTACCTACCTGAGTAAGTTGTTGTGAGAACTCAAGGCATCTAACAATGTCTGGCAACACTAAAGAAGCAGATGCAAAATACACTTCAGAAGCAAAAATAAACTAACCTTTCGATTTCCAAGCAGATAAACAGTCTGCATGGTTTCTACAAAACATTTTCCCTAACAATGTTACAAACAGGCCTTGCAGTAAGGTAGAAAATGCTTACAAGACATTATGACTCCTAAAGTTCATCAAGTTTAATTTAACCTAAATTAAAAGACCTTTGGTTAAATTGGAAGGAAAAAAATTACCTCATGAACTTGTCTAACACGTCCTCTACCCACATGTGCATACGAAGGGACTGAAATCCATAGCGCCAAACTAATTTAATCATGTTAATTATGAACCAGTTGCTCTCCTCAAATACCAGACTCTCTCCATTATATATCCCCAGTAGGCCACCAGAGGCCTGAACAGTAGAGAGACCTGCAAAAACATAAATGGCAACTAAGTCAGTGGTGTCTATGCTGATAGTGAAAGAACATAATCTGAGTGAATGTAGGGCTTCCCTCAGTTCTCAGGAGTCACATAGAGGAGTTCTATCTTTGGAACAGTGTGATACACTATACTTTCACCACACTGTCCAAAAGTAGATTTGCTTGGCAATGGGTCAGATGATCATGCAAATATTAACATATCAAAAGTAGATATATTTTTACCTGGCTATTTTTTAGTCTAAAAAAATGAAATAGGCCGGGTGCAGTGGCTCACGCCTGTAATCCCAGCACTTTGGGAGGCCGAGGCGGGCAGATCACAAAGTCAAGAGATTGACACCATCCTGGCCAACATGGTGAAACCCTGTTTCTACTAAAAATACAAAAAAAATAAAATAAAATAAAATAAAATAAAATAAATTTGCTAGGTGTGGTGGCAGGCACCTGTAGGCCCAGTTACTAGGGAGGCTGAGGCAGGAGAAATGCTTGAACCCAGGAGGCAGAGGTTGCAGTGAGCCAAGATCGTGCCACTGCACTCCAGCCTGGCACCTGGCGATGGAGCAAGACTCTGTATAGCCGGGTGCAGTGGCTGAAGCCTGTAATTCCAGCACTTTGGGAGGCCAAGGTGGGTGGATAACGAGGTCGAGAGATCGAGACCATCCTGGTCAACATGGTGAAACCCCGTCTCTACTAAAAATACAAAAAATTAGCTGGGCATGGTGGCGCGTGCCTGTAATCCCAGCTACTCAGGAGGCTGCGGCAGGAGAATTGCGTGAACCTGGGAGGCGGAGGTTGCGGTGAGCCGAGATCACGCCATTGCACTCCAGCCTGGGTAACAAGAGCGAAACTCCGTCTCAAAAAAAAGAAATAGTCAAAGGAAAAAAGCCAGAATACCAGCTGAATTCAATTTAAAAACAAAGATATCAGACATGTATCTTTGTGACATGATTTGTTCTGGGTATACCATTGCCCTTGTAGAGGAAACTGAAGCAGAGGCAGCATCCACAGAGGATGTGGAAGGCAGCTGAGGGGAAAGAGGTGTTTCCATTTGTGTGAGAATCCTTTTTTGCAAAACTGGTATTTCAGTTAACTGGAGGGAGGCCAAAGTTACAAAATACTACCTGCCAAAAGGGCCTGCAGAGGCCTGTCAGACCGTCCCCATGACCCACCCATTCAGCTCCCCTGCTATCAGGGCAGCAGTTGCACATCCCAAGTTCTATGCACATGTCTGCATCCATAGCTACGTGAGTGACTTTGTTTTGTCAGTGGTAGTTTGACAGGGTCTTACTTTGTTGCCCAGGCTACAGTGCAGTGGCACAATCAAGGCTCATTGCAGCTTCTATCTCCCTCACTCATAGGATCCTCCTGCCTCTTCCTCCCATGTAGTTGGGACTACAGGTTTGTGCCACCACACCAGGCTAATTTTTTTATTTTTAGTAAAGACAGGGGCCGGGTGTGGTGGCTCACGCCTGTAATCCAAGCACCTTGGAGGCCAAGGCAGGCGGATCACCTGAGGTCGGGAGTTCAAGACCAGCCTGACCAACACGGTGAAACCCCGTCTTAAAAAAAAAAAAAATTAAAAATTTTTTTAAAAAAGTAGACAGGGTCTCACTATGTTGCCCAGACTAGTTGCTAACTCCTGGGCTCAAGTGATCCTCTTCCTCTGCTCTTCCTCTGCCTCCCAAAGTGCTGGGATTATAGGCATGAGCCACTATGCCGGGCCATGGCCATGTGTATGTGACTTTGAGCCAGACACTTCAAGTCTCTGGGTCTCATTTCCTCAGCTGCAAAATGATCACAATAAGGTGCCTATCTCCAAAACTTCTCTGATTCTTCAACACAAACCCAGAAGTTTAGGAACAGACAACAGGGCCGGGCGCGGTGGCTCAGGCCTGTAATCCCAGCACTTTGGGAAACCAAGGCGGGTAGATCACGAAGTCAAGAGATTGAGACCATCCTGGTCAACATGGTGAAACCCCATCTCTACTATAAATACAAAAAATTAGCTGGACATGGTGGCACATGCCTGTAATCCCAGCTACTCGGGAGGCTGAGGCAGGAGAATTACCTGAACCCAGGAGGCGGAGGTTGCAGTGAGCTGAGATCATGCCATTGCACTCCAGCCTGGGTAACAAGAGCAAAACTCCATCTCAAAAAAAAAAAACAGACAATGGAGGCTGGGCATGGTGGCTCACACTTGTAATCCCAGCACTTTGGGAGGCCGAGGCGGGAGGATCACCTGAAGTCAAGAGTTCAAGACCAGCCTGGCCAACATGGTGAAACCCCATCTCTACTGAAAATACAAAAATTAGCTGGGTGTGGTGGTGGGCACCTGCAATCCCAGCTACTCAGGAGGCTGAGGCAGGAGAATCACTTGAACCTGGAAGGCAGAGGTTGCAGTGAGCTGAGATCACACCATTGGACTACAGCCTGGGCAACAAGAGTGAAACTCTGTCTCGAAAGAAGAAAAAGAAAAGACAGCAGCAGCCATTCCCACCCCCACCCCATGCCTGTAATTCCAGATAACTGAAGATTAGATAACTAGTGTCCCCTTACAGCAGAACTAACTAAAGCAGTACCAACTAACAAGAAAGTGAGGAAAACAGTTTTACCAACATCTCTGTAACACAATTAACAAGGTAGAAGTTTCAGTTTTCTGACTGATAAAAATATCCAGGGATGTCAGACAGTTATCTGGTGAGCTCCAAGATCAAAATTACATACCCAGGTCTTTGACAAAACGCTTCATGTGCAGATTTAAAGGATGGATGACAGAACCTCCTGCCTCATAGTCTTGCCCCTGAACCATCATGGTAGCCAGGCGGCCCCCGACCTCTTCTCTTTCAAACAGGTCAATCTTCACATCTTTCCCAAATTTCTGCCGCAGGTAATAGGCTGCTGAAGTGCCACCAATTCCGGCTCCAATAATCGCTATGAGGGAAGAAAATCGCTATGAGGGTTTTTTCCCCCTTTTACCAGTTGTTTTGTTTTTTAAAGACCATTAAGCAATAAGGGAGGTTGTTACTCAAAGCTATTGTCAACAATTTGGTGGGGGGAGTGGCATCTGCAGTAAAGGTCTAACTCCCCGAATCTGAAAAGACACTGCCCCCCGACAAAAGCAGTAGTAGATTACTTAATATAGTGACATTAATTCGATTTTTTTAACCAAAGATTCTCACAGGTATTTATGGAGGAACCAACGGTCCTATACACCCTTCCTGATGCCCAACTCACGAGCACATTGGAGGTGAGCCTTTCTAGCACGCATTTTTAATAAAGTGACTGCCATTTTTGCCTAGCTTTATTGTGTCTAGATTCAATGTAAATAGGTTATAATCCCGAAGAACACAACTTTAAAGGTGGGTGGGGGGAGACAGGAAGCGAAAAAACCAAGACTCCTGACACTGGAAAGAAAATAAAGAGATTCTTTCTGCAGCTGTGTTAGTCCTAGGTGGAGAAACTGTGCAAGCCAGGGGCCTCTGAGGGCAGGCCGACCTCAGCAAAGCAGAGATGGGGGAAGTGGGTTCAGCCTCCCAAGGGAAGCAGGCAGGGTCAGCTTGTTTGCACTCCGCCCTGTGCTGTGTCTGCGTGAGCGTGCCATCTGGCCGAACGCCCCAGGTCGAGCCACATACACTGGGCTCTTAATGGTCAGTGTTCAAAGGAAAGATGGAGAAAGGAACCTAGGCCTCCCCGGAGTCCCAGGCCTAAGAGACAGGGGCTACAGGTACGCTGGGCGCCCGCCTGCCCGCCCCGGTCCCCGTCCACGCCCATTCCTCAAGTGGGCACCTCTCCACGCCTGGGAATGCACAGTCCTATTCCGAGCAGGGCCGGAAGCCGCTCTGAGGTGTGAACGCGGGGAAGCGCGACCTGCGCGGCGGGTTCGGCCTGCACTACTGGCCTGCGTCGCGGCTGCGGGATCTGGGCGCACTGCGCAGCAGCCGCCCCGCGCGGGGCACGCTCCAGCGCCCTCCCGCGCCGCCCCCTTCTCGCCTACCGATCTTATCTGGCGGGGCACGCAGCTCGGCGCCTTCGGGGCACCCCCAGCTGCACAGCAGCAGCCACAGCCCTAGCAGCAAGGAAACTAGCTCCGCGACAGCTCGCCCCATGGCCTCCTCCACGAGCTCTGCGGCGGGCCGTTGGAGCCCCGCAGTCCTCCCGCCGCTGCGCGGCTGCGCGCTCCGCCCAGCCCCGCCCCCAGGCCGCCCCGCCCCGCCCCCAGGCCGCCCCGCCCCGCCCCCAGGCCGCCCCGCCCCGGCCCCGCCCAGGTGCCTCGCCCAGCAGGTCCCCTCAGTCCTCCAGGAGCTGCCCACCCTGGGCCACTTAGTGCCCTAAGTACACCCTTCCGCCCCGAAGCCCACCTTCCTTCAGAAGACATCGAAGACACAGGCGGCGGCTCGCCTCGGCAATCCTCTTTCCTCCCTATCTATTCGGGTGAAGCACCTTAGTTCTTCACTAGTGCCCACTTCTGTCCCTTCCGTCTCTCCTCTCAAAGAATGCACACAGCTTATCGCTGCCAGAAACAGCCCAAAGGGGCAACAGGACTTACCTAGTGATCACCCTGTTCCGAGGACTTTCGGGTACGCCATGACTGGGTAAATGGTGCTGGGTGAAAAGAAAAATGAGGGAGGCTGCGGATGGGGTGGTCTAAGGTGAAGGGAGCGGAATAATAGTAACAGACATGAATAAAAGTAGTTTACCTGTAAGGACACCAGAATGTGCCACCCCAAAATTTTCCTCCTTAGCCTAAGGAGTCTTTCAAGCCGAAGGCAATTGAGAAGATGTAGATACAAGGAAAGTTCTCCACCTTCCCCCATTTGCCTAAAAGCAGAACATAAATTTTAAAAGGCAAAGGTATCCCTCTTCCCGCACTGCCTGGAAGGACAAAGGTTAATCACTGAAGACAATTTTACACCTGTTAAATAAAATGTATAGGAGGCCATTGTTTTGGATTGAGCTCCTGCACTAGAGTAGGCCCAACATCGAGTCACTCATGTCACTCATGTTCCACATCACCAAGTCAAAACTAAGTTGTCTATCTGACTTTCTAAGAAATCAGGAGAAAGAAAAATAATAGCCACATCCCCAAACAGACCAGTTTTAGGTGGCATGGTAAGGAAATCCCCTCTGCTTTGAACTTTACAAGGAGGCTGGGCGCCGTGGCTCATGCTCGTAATCCCAACACTTTGGAAAGCCAAGGCAGGTGGATCACCTGAGGTCAAGATTCAAGACCAGCCAAGGCAGGTGAATCACCTAAGGTCAAGATTCAAGACCAGCCTGGCCAACATGGTGAAACCCCATCTCTACTACACAGACACACACACACACACACACACACACACACACACACCCCACACACACACACACAAGTTGGGCATGGTGGCAGGCACCTGTAATCCCAGCTACTCAGGAGGCTTGAGGCAGAAGAATCGCTTGAATCCAGGAGGTGGAGGTTGCAGTGAGCCAAGATCACACCATTGTACTCCAGCCTGGGCAACAAAAGCAAAACTATGTCTCAAAAAAAAAAAAAAACCTTTGCAAGGAAAGTAACCTCAACCAATTCACTTTTCTGTGTCTGCTTTCTTCAGCCCTTTCTGTCTATAAAGCCAGCCTCTGCTCAGCTCAACCTCCTCCGCTCTGTCTTATAGAATGAGGTGTTGCGCAGTTCTACCGTTGCAACCAAAAGCTAATTATGGGCCGGGCGCAGTGGCTCAAGCCTGTAATCCCAGCACTTTGGGAGGCCAAGGCGGGTGGATCACGAAGTCAAGAGATCGAGACCATCCTGGTCAACATGGTGAAACCCCATCTCTACTAAAAATACAAAAAATTAGCAGGGCATGGTGGCGCGTGCCTGTAATCCCAGCTACTCAGGAGGCTGAGGCAGGAGAATTGCCTGAACCCAGGAGGTGGAGGTTGCGATGAGCCAAGATCGCTCCATTGCACTCCAGCCTGGGTAACAAGAGCGAAACTCCATCTCAAAAAAAAAAAAAAAAAAAAAGCTAATTATGATCTTTAAACTAAATTAGTTGTAATTTTGTCTTTTGACAAACCTTTGTCAGCCAGGAATCTACATGGCAAACTTTATTAATGAGCCTTTTTCTATCACTTATTTGCCTTCCCACAATTTGCCACCCCTAGAGACTCAAAATCATTTTCCTTCTCTTAACACTTCTCTAAACATATACTGTTCTTTTTTGAAGATGGTGTATAAGCCTGAATTCAACCCCACCTCAGAGATTTGCTTATTTCCCTGGTCTCTCTTTTGCATACATGAGGTACACATGTTTACATTTCTGTTTGTTTTTCTTTTTTTCTTTCATTTACTGATTTTGAGAGTCTTGCTCTATCACCCAGGCTGAAGTGCAGTGGCATGATCACAGCTCACTGCAAACTTTTCCTCCTGGGCTCAAGCAATCCACCTACCTCCAGCTGCCAGAGTAGAGTAGCTGGGACCACAGGCATGCATCACCACACCCAGCTAATTTTTACATTTTTTATAGAGATGGTTTTTTGTCATATTGCCCAGGCTGCTCTGGAACTCCTGAGCTCAAGTGATCCACCCACCTCAGCCTCCCAAAGTGTTGGGATTACAGGCATGAGCCACCATGCCTGGCCCTGTTTGTTTTCTCCTTGTTAATCTGTCTTTTGTTACAAGGGCTATTTCACTCAAAAACTCTGAAGGGTAGAGGAAAAACTCTTTTTTTCTCCCCTATATACCATACTGTAGAACATTACGCATGCATTTAAAAAAGGCCAGGTGCAGTGGTTCACATAATCCCAGCACTCTGGGAGGCTGAGGTGGGCCGATCACTTGAGGTCAGGAGTTCGAGACCAGCCTGGCCAACATGGTGAAACCCCATCTCTACTAAAAATACACGGTGCTGTATGCCTCTAATCCCTGCTACTCAGGAGGTTGAGGCAGGAGAACCGCTTGAACTTGGGAGGCTGAGGTTGCAGTGAGCCAAGATCATGCACTGTTCTCCAGCCTCACAGAGGCTGTCTCAAAAAAAAAAAAAAAGGCTCTGTCTCAAAAAAAAAAAAGTTGGGGCCAGGCACAGTGGCTTACGCCTGTAATCCCAGCACTTTGGAAGGCTGAGGCAGGCAGATCACCTGAGCTCATTAGTTAGAGACCAGGCTGGCCAACATGGTGAAACCCCATCTCTACCAAAATTACAACAAAATTAGCTGGGTGTGGTGGTACATGCCTGTAATCCCAGCTACTCCGGAGGCTGAGGCAGGATAATTGCTTGAATCCAGGAGGCAGAGGTTGCAGTAAGCCAAGGTTGTGCCACAGCACTCCAAGCTAGGGGTGACAGAGTGAGACTCCATCTCAAAAAAAAAAAAGTTGGGTATATAACTAATGTTCTAGTATTACTAGTAAAGAAAAGCTTTTGGCTGCATGATGTGTATAAAATGTCTGTAATCCCAGCACTTTGGGAGGCAAGGGCGGACAGATGGTTTGAGCCCAGGGATTCAAGCCCAGCCTGAGCAAAATGACAAAACTTATCTTTACGAAAAAATACCAAAAAATAAGCCTGATATGGTGGTATGCACCTGTAGTACCAGCTAATCAGGAGGATGAGGCAGGAGGATCACCTGCGTCTGGGAGGTGTAGACTGAGGTGGTCAGTGGTCATGCCACTGCATTCCAGCCTGGGCACAGAGCAAGACTCTACCTACCAACTACCAAAAAAAAAAAAAAAAGGCCGGGCGCGGTGGCTCAAGCCTGTAATCCCAGCACTTTGGGAGGCCGAGGCGGGTGGATCATGAGGTCGAGAGATCGAGACCATCCTGGTCAACATGGTGAAACCCCGTCTCTACTGAAAATACAAAAAAATTAGCTGGGCATGGTGGCACGTGCCTGTAATCCCAGTTACTCAGGAGGCTGAGGCAGGAGAATTGCTTGAACCCAGGAGGCGGAGGTTACGGTGAGCCGAGATCGCGCCATTGCACTCCAGCCTGGGTAACAAGAGCGAAACTCCGTCTCAAAAAAAAAAAAAAAAAAAAAGTATGTACCAGGATACAACTGCAACATTATTTGTAATATAATAGATTTTTTAAAAGAACCCGAATATCCATCAATGCCACTTATGGTAGGTTATTCAATTTACCACTGACATTGTGGAACTTTCCTTTTATGGACAATTTTGCAACTATTAAAAAACTATTGGCAGGGCAAAGTGGCTCACGCCTGTAATCTAAGCACTTTGGGAGGCCAAGGGGGGCGGATCACAAGGTCAGAAGTTTGAGACCAACCTGGCCAATATGGTGAAACCCCATCTCTACTAAAAAAAAAAAAAAATGCAGGCCAGGCACGGTGGCTCAAGCCTGTAATCTCAGCACTTTGGGAGGCCGAGGCAGGTGGATCACGAGGTCGAGAGATCGAGACCATCCTGGTCAACATAGTGAAACCCCGTCTCTACTAAAAATACAAAAAACTAGCTGGGCATGGTGGCACGTGCCTGTAATCCCAGCTACTCAGGAGACTGAGGCAGGAGAATTGCCTGAGCCCAGGAGGCGGAGGTTGCGGTGAGCCGAGATCGCGCCATTGCACTCCAGCCTGGGTAACAAGAGCGAAACTCCGTCTCAAAAAAAAAAAAAAAAAAATGCAAAAGTTAGCTGGGTGTGGTGGCGGTGTCTGTAGTCCAGCTACTCGGGAGGCTGAGGCAGGAGAATTGCTTGAACCTGGGAGGCGGAGGTTGCAGTGATCGGAGATTGCGCCATTGCACTCCAACCTGGGAAACAGAGGGAGACTCCATCTCAGAGAAAAAAAAAAAAAACTATTAGGCCGGGACTGAGCGCAGTGGCTCATGCCTATAATCCCAGCACTTTGGGAGGTCAAGGCTAGTGAATCACTTGAGCCCAGCACTTTAAGACCAATCTGGGCAACAAAGTGAGATACTTGTCTCTACAAATGTTACAAAAATTAGGTGGATGTGGTGGTGCACACCTGTAGTCCCAACTACTCAGGAGGCTAAGGTGGCAGAAACACCTGAGCCCAGGAGACGGAGGCTTCAGTTAAGTGGAGATCACTGCCACTGCACTCCAGCCTGGTGACTGAGAGATCGTGTCTGAAAAAAAGAAAAAAAAAATAGTCCAGGCACAGTGGCTCGCCCCTGTCCCCGCACTTTGGGAGGCCAAGGCGGGCGGATCACTTGAAGTCAGGAGTTTGAGACCAGCCTGGCCAA